CGGAAGAGACAGAGACCAGGACCTGCGTTCCGTACCTATCTGCTAACTGTGCGGTGGTGCTGGTGTAGTGCAGCATTTTTGGATGGATAGCTACATTTCACGATTAAATAGCTGTTACGTTTCAGTGCAGGTGGCGTGACGAACAATGTGGTAGTTATCTGTTGGCCACTTCTGCGGCCGCTGCTATTTCCTACTCGAAGGCGGGCGCGCTGTTTGGCTGGGCCGCCAGGATGTTCCCATTATGTGTCGACGACAAAGCGAGTGTATTCGTGTTCTTTTAATGCACAGAGGTCTGTTGTATATTTGAAGTTTTATTTTAAGTTGACGATTGCGAAGGGCAGATTCATCTTCTCTCTTTCATTTGTGTTGCCACTTTATCGTTCATGTTTGTTATAAGTGTCCATGCGGCTTGGTTGTCATCTTTATTCCTGATGTATTTTATTTTACGAACATGCTGGTGATCAATGCAATACACTTTTGGTTAATAATGCTGCTTTAGCTCTGATCCTTTGTGGTATGTCTTGACTGTACTACTGCGATAGCGATTTTTCCTCACCAAAATATGCAGGCAACCAATGTAAATGCTGGCAAAAGTTTGTCATTACGTGATGTATCTAAAAAAACATCGAGTTCCTGAACGTGGTCGTGTACTACGTAACCGGAAACTCAATAGGACGCAGAATTCTGTGAAGCAAAACTACAGAAGTGAGGCTGGCCACGCCAAAATCAAGTGAGATATGTCTAGCCTTTCTTCAGCCGCCAAGGCTTCGATAGACTATCCCCGGGTTCGGTGTCTCTCGAACTACGAAGATTTAACGTCGTCCGGCCAATCCTGGTTAAGGTCAGCGGGGATTTAGCTGTGGTTATGGAACAGGATTGGCCGTCCGAGAGACTCCGAACCTGGGGTATGTTGCAGCTCAGCTATGTCGACCGAGTGTCGTCGCAAGCTGCACCACTAGACGAGAACAAATAAAACCGTCCCGTCCTAGGCTGACTAGGCTTAGCTAGGTGGCAGCACAGTCGCGCCGGCAGGGGGCAGTGCCACAACCAGCCGACTGATATTTTCGTGTGACGTCAGAACCGGTGCCTCCCTGGTAGCGATCGACTGTTTATTGGGTCACTCACAGGTCAGCTACACGCGCGCCTCTAGCGGCGACCTCCACAACACACTACAATATACCAAAGAAGCGTATTTTTCGAAATTTCAAAAATACATATTAATCTCTGTTTAATTGCAAGTTCAATGTTATATAACATTTGGCATTTGAATAATCCGTCTTAGAGTTACAGCCCGCCAAACTTAGCGCTGCAAAGCAAGATCCAAAACATGTTATACACCATAACTAAAAAAAATACTTAGGTATCTGATAAGCCTGAAATTGTTACAGGTGGATTCAGAGCCCCTGATTACCCCTGAGACCAATTCTCGTCAAATTCCGAGAGATGAGGGTGTCAAATTGGAAAAAAGTGGTACGATCTATCGTGGAATGCCCCCTAGGAGGTCAAATTTTGATGTTGACCTTTCAAGGTCAAATTATAGTTCATTCGACGCGTTTCGGCGAGAAGAACACGATTCTGGCAATAGAAATGCCCTGGCTTTTTTAATCAAAAGTCATTGTCGAAAAACACTTTGTAAAAAAACTATTTTTGGAGTTTTTGCCCTCTGGAGGCTAAACCGTTGACCTGAGGTCATTTTTGATGATAACCTTATGAAAAGAAGAGTTCAAGAGCTATCGATTGCTTTTCCCAGCAGTTTTCTAGGTATCATAGTTCCTGAGACAATGGCATGATTTCTGAAAAATATAATGACATTTCGCAAATTTTGACCTTTGATGACCTCTGGTGACCCCAATATTGCTCTAAGATGAAAAATGACCGAAATACTTTCAAACGTACCTACGCATCGAGAGCTATCGACTGCTTTTTCGCGAGTCTTTCTAGCCCTCTTAGTTTTTGAGTTAGAGGTGGGTGGTAACATATGCCCCCCCCCCCCCCCCCACTAGGGCGAAGTTGGCTGAGACCGCCACTGGGGCGCGGGTTAACTTAGCAGCCCAGCACGAGATCCTGGAAACGGGACCCCAGATCAGTCGATGCAGACATGCAGAAGCGGACGAGACATCAGCGCCATGAATAGGGGGGGGGGGCAATCTCACCATGGAACATGCCAAAGCATAGGTACATGATAGCAGCCATCCACATGGCCTGCGGTCAGGTATCTACATATGTATATCCATTATCACATTTGACCCGTCCGCAAAGGCACGGCATATTGGCGGGGTGAACACCATGCACACGCCAGCCGCCGCTCCACGAGCATGGCACTTTCGAAACACATAGACACCATCCAGCAGCCATTGGCTCATGGCCTGCGCTACGCAAATGATCGCGGACACATCATTCTCACATCAGGACACAGATACACTTAACCCTCGCCCGCACATGGGGGGGGGGTTAAGTGTCTTCCCCCCCAGTTAGTCTTTCTGCTCTGCACTCAACATTTTAAGAGCTAGAAGCCTGATTTTTCGTATAGCTGCTCCTCTATATCCTGTCTTTATGTCCACTGGAAATTTCAAGCTTCTGTGATTTTTGGTTTCGGAGATATGACCTTGTTTTTTCAGGTTATATCATAACCAAATGACCCATTCTGAACACCTTGCGTTGGCTATGGGCCTTGTGAGCTTTTGACACCTTGATTTCGTCCTTTTTTGCCAGTATTACCTCCCACCTATCATGGAACATGCTGTTCGACGATGTACAGATGTCAAGGTCAGGGTCAAGGTCAACCTAGGTCATCTAAAATAATGCGTTTTAGGTAAGCTGAATTTAATTCTCGTGAAGTTTTTTGACTGCATTTTTGGTAAAAGCTTCTCAGATCATGATTTCATGTAATATGGACCCAAAAACAATCGGTGCACACATCAGTATACACACAGACACACACAGACATACAAACACATATAATTGACCTTGACCTAACTTGACCTGAAATGACCTCAGCAGCAAAATTCTGGTCGGGTAGTGTGACAAAGAGGTTCTAGCTGGCTTGGCACCAGAAAACAGCATCGTCATCGGTATTTGATAAGCAGCGCACTTGATTTCCAACGGTGACCCCAAACAGCAACATTTTTTAGTTTGACTTGACCTGGAAGGTCAATGACTGACCTGAGAAGGTAAAACTGGGTATCATTAGACAGGGCCTCGGCTAAGGAATTTTGACTGGTGGGCCACTTGGGCAGCGACATGGACTGACCTTCGTAGCCATAGCCCCCCCCCCCCCAATTTTCGATTTCTCCCCAGATTTCGGCCACTTTATTCTGCAAAAAACGTCAGGATGGCATTCAAAAATGTAAAAAAAAAACGGGGCTCGACCCCCCCCCCGACTCTTCAGAGAGAGGAGAGAGTAGGGACCCACAACCCTCTCAGTGGTGATACTCCGGCGGGGTGCACATAAAATCGCACAAGTATGCACAAAATATTGACGCAGATTATAAAACTTTGGACGATAACTTACGGCCGATCGGATGTTAAAATCAGCGAGCCCTGAGTGGATCGCTCGCCAACTAGTCGAAGAGTCGAAGAGTCGGAGAATCGAAAGCGGTCGGACGGGATCGGGCGTTGTCGAGTGGATCGGGAGGAATTGTGAACAGCACGAGTGCCACTTTATACCTATATAAAGTGGGTTGTAGCAGGAACCCCAAAAGGGGGTTGTAGCAGCAGCCCCAACATCTCTGAAAATGATCATTAGGCCTATTGGTGTCGCATGGAAAATAATTTACTCAATTAGCCCAAGCGCACTGCGCAACCCTAATATTTTCTATAAAAAAGTTATGTACACTTCTGGTGAACAGTGTCCCAAGCTTCAGATTTCCCTTGGGTGTCTGAGTGGAAAATTCTAGCAACCCAAAATGTGAGAGTGGAAAATTATCCATTCTTATTCTTGAGTGTCATCTTCAGCCCAAATGAGAAATTTTTGGAACGCTGACTGTGAACGGTTCGAAATTCGTCCGACTGGTCAGATGTGTGACTGCAAGCATCATACCGGTCGTGAAGACGTATATTATCGCTTGCAGACTTCAATCGGCTGGAAGTCGCCGACACTACCTCTAGTTTGACTCTTTTAAGTTGCGGGTACTCTAGTCCACTTTTTACCCCAAGGATATTGCAAACAATAGGTTGAAGTTTTTTTCTTCACAAGAATATGTTTCACCGATGTGTATTTTACAGCCTGAAAATGTACGATAAGATCTGCTAATTCAATTTGAAATGTGTAAAATGTGAAAACTTAGAAAAATTACTGGTGGGCCAAATCTTTGAGGCTGGTGGGCCATTTCGGGTCACTGGTGGGCCATTTGACCCACCAGTTAACATGTTAGCCGAGGCCCTGTCATTAGATTTGTTTCTTCCCAAAGAATCTTTTTGGTCTTTACCGCGAAGCTCTATCTCCAACAGGAGCGAAATGGCGCGGGGGGGTGGCAACCACCCTTCCCCTCATCCATGTGCGTTCTAGGAAAAGAAAATGGCATGTGCGGGCGAGGGTTAATAACACGCGACAGTACTGAAAGTTTCGTCGACATCGGCCGTTTTTTACGCGAGTTATTCACAACAAAAACGAGAGGGTTCCGTTCGATCCCCCCCCCCATACGGGCGGGGATTAAACCTGTATGGTGTCCATAATTTATAATCCATTCATTTTTTGACGAGCTGGGCCGGGCTGGGCGTTGACGCTTTTACCATGAATGGGCTCGGGCTGGGCAGGGCTGTGAACCCATGGGCCTGGGCTGGGCTGGACTGAGATTTCCCGGCCCGTGGCCAACACTGCTTTCGGTCAGCAAACTCACCCCCGTTCGATGTCTCTCGAACGGCGAAGATTCTACGTCGTCCGGCCAATCCCGTTCAAGGTCAGCGGGGGCTCGACTCCGGTTATGGAACGTGATTGGCCAGACGGACGTAGAATCTTCGTCGTCCGAGAGACATCGAACGCGGGGTCAGATGCTCAAAGTAAAGCTTGTTGATATTTTCATGGTAACCATAAGCGGTAATAGCGCTAGTAGCGGCCAGCAGCGTGCCACGAAACCGGGCCCTGGCGACGCGCCTGCGCTGACCTTGACGGCCGCGCCCCGCGGGCGGGCACGAGACTGGGCCGGGTCACCAGACGGCGGCCGAGCCGGGGGGAGCGCGGTGCCGCTGCTGCGCTCTCTCGTCAATCAGTCGCGTCGTCTGCTCCCCTGTGTGATCTAGACTTCGCTTACTACTTCTCTCTGTTACAATTAGTGTTTGGTTTGCAGCATTATCGGTTGTTTGTGCGATCATTGTAATTATCACAATTGCTGGTAATGCATTGACTCATGGCCTACACGCGAACCTTCTGCAATTGACTAAGCTGAAATCTCATTCTCGACTGACCGTTCATTGTCTCACGAACCGACTGAATTTTGCGGTAAGTACTAAATATACAGTGGCTGGTTATTACTCGATTTGGCCTTTTTACTTGTTGAATAATTTAATGAGATGGATATTAATCAATATCGATAAGAATTAATTGTATGTTTTTAAAATGATGTAAGTAATGGTAATACAATTCAAGCATTCTGATTAGCTTCAGCCATCAGCACCCTCCTGCTTTATGCCTACCTACCTTGGCAAGGTTTGTTTTCTTTTTCACAGTTCAACCCGAATCCGCTTGTTAGATAGCAGTCGGGAGGGGGGGGGAGGTTCGGTCAATCGTTGTCATTTTTAGCACGTGCTTTTTTTGGCAACCGTGTGCCAAAAATGACAACGATTCTGCTGTTTTTGGCAACGATGAAGCCGATTTCACTCCTCGGCGAGAAAATCACGTTTTTGGAAATTTTGGAAAAGAAGTGGTGCAAGAAAAAGAAACCAGCTTTAACCCGCGCCCCACTGGGGTCTGTGTCCAGGAAAAACTGTCGAGCGAAACCTAATTTCATTGACCTCGAGGTTACCGAAGACGTCACAGGTCAGGTCAAAGTAAAAGTTATCGATATTTGGCTTGTTCACATTTTGGGCTCTGGCTGCCGTCTTACAAGTCAGATCAGGCTGATTTTTTGTTAGCACACTCGTAAACAGATGCTTTAGATACCCTGAGGGCACCCAACTTGTACTCTGATTTTCAGGTCAGGGTCAGGTCATCATAGGTCACGGAAATCTTATGTCATAAGTCGGTCACGTGACACATGTTTTATGGTCCATTTAGGCCATAGATTTCGAATTCGGTGTCGCCTGTATCATTTGAGGACATTTTCATCTGAATATAGCTGAGGTCAGGTCATTTTCAGGTCAAAAAGGTCAAATTTCAAAGTTGAAATATTTCAGCAAAAACATGTGTATCGGATGCAGTTTGAGCTCAGGAGCACGATGGTGCTATTTATATTGGTGTACGATGTCAAATTCGTACCTTAAAATTAATTTGAAAAATTTAAAATTGTGAAATTTTTGCTATGAAGCGACCTATAACTTGGCCATTTTTGAAGATGTCTGGCTAAAACTTGCTAGAGTAAAATAAGTAGAGTAAAATAAATAGAGTAAAAATTTTACTTATTTTATAATAAGTAAATATAAAATAAATAAAATAGGGTGAATATAAAAATATACTTAATTTGCTAGAGTAAGTTATAAGCATGTGTTCTATCATATATATTACGTTTTTTTCGAAAAGTCAACAAGTTTTTGAAAAAAATATAACACAAATTTTGAATTTTAATATTAATAATCTTCAAAATTTTCAAAGTTTTGAAAATTAGAGATAGTAGTTTGATAGAACAGTCCATTCTGAGTCCTCTCATGCCAAGAAATTGGATGTAGCTCAAAAACTGAGCTCTTAGAAGCGATTCCAGTGGTTCAATGTTTTGCGTCGAAATTGGCCGAACATGACGTCACTCTGACATCATTTCCGGCTGACCTATGATAGATACGAAGTTTAAATTTTGACACAAGGTGTCAAATTGATGCAGTCGAAGGTACGGAGAGTTTGGCGGCGATACGTCAAGCGAATTAGAAGTTATTACAGAAAAACCGGAGGGGCGGCTATGAACAGCCCCCCCCCCCACCAGTGAGGCGCGGGTTAATATGGCCGTTGTTTGTATGGTAATCCAACGTTGAAGTGCACATTTTCTGTGGCCGAAAGTTGGAACTTGAAACTGAAGCATCCGAAATGATTGATATTGGTCGAAAACATAATTTTGATTAAAAAACAATGTGTTAAGTTTAAAGAGGCCATTTTACCCAGATGCGGTGGTTTATTTCTTTAAATTATTTTTGCTAAACAAAATCGTTATTTCCTCGCTGAGGAGTAAAATCGGCTTCATCGTTACAAAAAATAGCAGATCGTAGTCATTTTGGCACTTGTGTGCCAAAAGTAGCATGTGCTAAAATGCTACTTGACCACTGCTAAATGCTAAGAAAAATAAATGCTACCTGCTAAACGATTGACCAAACCTTCCCTGACAGATATGATCATGAACAGCCCGGTACCGAATTGTTCGTGTCCATGGATTAACCGTTGGCTGATACTATTTTTAACGTCATTGAGCAGCAGCCATATCAATATCATGCTCAGTCACCCGTTCTATGTAACTAACGTTGTAACCCTCAGACATTGCACAATTCCCGGCCACTGCCACAGAGGTCGACTGACCGGACCCGTCCCTCAGGCGGTATGCAGGCCCCTCCACCGGCGTACGCTCCGGCACCGCCTGGCCAGACGGGCCCTGGCGTCTTCCAACAGGCCGGGGCTGCGCCTCCGCCGCCACCTCCGCCGCCTCCCGGAGGACCCGCCGGCTTCATGATGGCTCCAATGATGGGAATGGGTAGGTGTTGAGCACTAAGATGCAGAACCAAACCGGTTAGAACAAGTTAGAACTATATTTGCAGCATATGTAGTTAGTCCATAGTTAAATGTCGCAGAAAGTATTTATAAACAAAGGTACTCGTGCCACTAATAAAACTGTTAAGTCACATTAACCCGCGCGGGGCTGGGGGGTAAATTTTACCCCCCCTCGCGAATTTTTGCAATATCTCAAAAACGGCGGCGCGCAGCGCCGCCAAACTTTCAGTACCTTTTCCTACATCAATTTGACACGTTCCCTGAAAATTTGAGCGAAATCCGTCGGAAAATTTTTGAGAAATTGACGTTTTAGTGACGTCATGTTCGCCATTTTCGCCTCAAAATCGGCAAAAGTTCAAACGCCGCTAACATCTTCATTTTTAAAGGAATCAAGACGCAACAAAAAAAGGATATACGTAATTCTACTTTGACTTTAAAAAGGCTATCTCGGTTTTTTGAAAATTTTGGATTTTGGCCCAAATTTTTCCAAAAAACTGACTTTTTTGGGAAAATAGCTATAAAATCCAAAATTTTGAGTGTACCGAAAAAACCGGAATATATGTCAGAGAAGTGGTCTATGTGCACCTACATACCAAGTTTTAAAAGAATCGGTTCAAAAATGTGGGAGTTATTCAAAATTGTATGACGTCACGACACACAAAAATTTTGAAAAATGACTTTTTTGGAAGTTCTAGACCTCGTACGGAAACAAAAATAGCACCATTCGATTCGCCGTGAAAAACTGCATCAGATAGACACCTTTTTAGGCCTTAACAACCAACTTCAAAATTTGACCACACTTGACCTGACCTTGACCTGACCTCGAACTGAAATTCATCCAGAGGTGGTCCATATCACTTATTGAGTGTGCCTATTGAATTCTATGAGTAAAATGACCCATAAAACATGTGTCGCACATGCCCTTTTCTATATTTTGTTTTTTTTGTGACCTGACCTGACCTGACCTGACCTTGACCTTGACCTCTGAATGATATTGTATGCAACGAATATTGTCTTGGTAGCCTAAGAGCACGTTTTGGGCGATCAGTCTCAGTCCATGACTCCATTCTTCGGCAACTACGGTGCAAGGCCGATACTGTAGGAACTTGCAATTTGTACCCTTGACCTGACCTTGACCTTGACCTCGAACTTAAAATTAAGTACATGTTTTTAGTTGTTCGTGATGAGATCTTTCGATTGGCCTTTGAATTTTCCGAATCGGACCATTAGTTCGGGAGATAACAGGGGGGGGGGGTAAAATTTACCCCCCCCCCAGCCCCGCGCGTTCGGCTGGAGACCCCAGCCCCGCGCGGGTTAAATTAACTACCCAAATGTTGATTGAAAAATAACAACTAATACAAAAATAACAACAAATCACGGCAAATTCTGTCTTAACATCTCAGCTCGTACCAGTTTTTTGTTTTGTCGTAATCAAAGCCAGTTTGTCTTTTGAGTCGTTTACAAGAAGTCTGATACGGAATAGGTTTCAGTGCAATGCTAGGTTGCCCCGTATAGGTAGGTATGTAGGTACAATGTGCGTAGCTGAATTTGCTACATTTGCTAGATAGCTGTATTTGCATCCGCTTCCTGTTAGTACAATTCCGTGACTGGTACCCAGCTTCATATTCTAATACATTTCGTGCGAGTTTTTGTCGAAAACGCAGTGATTTATTAGGTACCATCCTTGTCGCACGACGCACCCTAACGTTTTATCGTAATCCTTAGTCCGTAGTCGCACCTCAGGAACTACGTTGACAATTATCCCGTTTCGAGCGATGGGTTGTTTGACCTGCCGCTCGGCGTTTCATCCCTCCAAACCCTATCAGACTAACAGTGCGACACCCCTGTCGTCTCCCGGCAGGTCAGCAGCAGCAGCAGCAACAACAACAGAGCACCACCAACTCCAGCAGCACCACGGTGGTGGTGGCTGGCGGCGGCGGCGGCGGCGGTGGTCCTCGGTCGCCCTTCCTCTGCCCCGTCTGCCAGACAGGCGTCATGGAGACCAGCTACACCTTCTGCGGGGTGCTGCTGGCCATCGTCCTCTTCCCCATCGGCATCATCTGCTGCCTCTACCTGAGCGGGCGCACCTGCTCCGCCTGTGGATACTCGCGATAGCGCCGCCTGTGGATACTCGCGATAGCGCCGCCTGTGGATACTCGCGATAGCGCCGCCTCGGCCTGTGGATACTCGCGGTAGCGCCGCCTCGGCCTGTGAATACTCGCGATAGCGCCGCCTGTGGATACTCGCGATAGTGCCGCCTGTGGATACTCGCGGTAGCGCCGCCTGTGGATACTCGCGGTAGCGCCGCCTGTGGATACTCGCGATAGCGCCGCCTCGGCCGATCTCTGAACACGACGCCAGGCTCTCCGAGGGCGCGCCAGAGCTTCACGCTAACCGCTCACTGATCTCAGACATTCGCTCGAACGGATTCGGTTGATGGTCATGGTTTGTGAAGCCATGATTTGTGTAGCGACTTCGGCATACAATTCAACGATGTGCGCACGGAAATCAATAGCAGATTCATCATGTTACACTGCAAAACTGATAGTGTGGTGGAAGTCCTCATTGCATTGCGTGCTCGAGTCTCGAATCTAGGGTGTTGTAACAAAGATGTTATCACAATGTTGCCGGTAATACCATACGCTTAATGGTCACTTCTTTTGCATTTTTTTTTTACTCGCGCCGTGCTAGGGGTGTGTTTTCACGCCCCTCCCCTCAGGAAAATTTCAGACCCAGGTCGTTCAAGTTCAGGTCGCCAGGTCACGTCAAGTGACCTTACCTAAAAAAAAAAAAATGCAAAGGCTCACTGTAGCTACACCGACGGAACGATCACTTTGACACTTTCAGCGATTGATAAGGGTAACAGTACGTCTAAAATCTTTATGTCGGATTTTTGATATCTGTGACCTAAGGTCAGGTCAATTTTGCGACCTCTCTGACCGGTATAAGTCAATGGGAGAAAATTGAAATGCGCCCCTTTTTGGACGAATGTCGTTCAAAACCCTTTCAAACATCGGTTCATAGGTAAACGTGACACACTGAATCGGAAATTCGCGCCTGCGACCCATCTGCGTGCCCCTGAGGTCATCTCAGGTCATGAAATGTCATCAGCTGCAGCGTTTTTTTTTTTTTACTATATATTTTGATGGAGACGTGCTAGAGCGGTGGAAACACGTCAGGTGTGTTCAGCTTGACGTCGACGATACGGATCGAATGATATGCAGTATGACCCTTTCTGGTCAGGTCCTGACATTGACCTGAGGTCAGATTTTCAAAAAGACCTTTCAAGGTCAACATTGAAATTAGACGCATCTCGACAAAAGGAAAACGACTCAAAATTTTGAGATGATAAAAAAGGAAATTGTCAGCAGTACGGTTCGTGCACCAATGTGCCAATGTTAAACCCTCGCCCGTGTAGGGGGGAGGGGGTCGAACGGAAACCTCCTCGGATTTTCGCAAATAACTAGCGTAAAAAGCGGCCGATCGCGACGAAACTTTCAGTACCTTCGCATTATCTAATTTTACATCTAGCTTCAAAATTTCATGACCCTGACCTAACTGACCTTTGACCTGTAACCTTCTTTTCGAGACAGACCATGTTTGGCCGGAATCGCGATACGGCGTATGTCGGTTCGCATTAGCCGCGCGTTTGAAATCTTTTCGTGGTTTCAAGCGTTCAGACATGTGATATGATGTTGGTCCAATGCATGAGGGTTGGTGTCAAGGTCACCTGAAGATCAGGTCAGGTCATTGACCTTTGATGACCTCGGTTCACTTTTTTGAGTTTTACATGTTTCTTGAGGCTAGTTCGTGAAGCCGAATTCGAGTTTAGCAACCATTTGAACATTTAAAAAGTAGTTTTGGTGCCTTCGTATTTCCTAACTTGTTACGAACCTGTCAGAGGCGGTTGACACGTACTACGAATACCCGGCAGGACCCGTACTGGTTGACCTGACCTGACCTCACCCGACCTGGTCTAAATGCACCAAGACATCATCTGTGATCAAAACCAACATGATATTCGTGATCAGCACCCCGGAAAACCCCATTGCAGCCACACTTTACGACTTTCTAAGAGGTCCCGATTTTCCCGATTCTTGGGTCATTGACCTGACCTGTAAGTTCACCCGATGACCTTGGATCTTAAAACTGGGTATCACCGGCTTCCTCTCGTTACGGGCAACACGCTCGTTTTTTCCGCGAAGCTCTAGCTCAATCAGGGGCCGAACGCGAGGGGGGGGGGGTCGTACCCTTGTGCCGTCGAAGGACGCAAAATGGCCTGTGCCGGCGAGGGTTAAAATTGGGCATCATCGGCTTCCTCTTGTCACGGGCAGCACGTTGCTTTTTTCGTGAAGCTCTAGCTCGATCAGGGGCGAAACTGCAATATCCCTTATATGTCCGCGGCTGGCAAAACAGCAATACGGGCGAGGGTTAAGAGGATAAGTTCAAAAATGTGGGAATTATTCAAATTTTAGTGACGTCACGGCGCACCAAATTTTCAAAACTTTTTTTTGAAGTTCTAGAACCTCTTACGGGAACCAAACAACACCATTCGTTGTGAAAATACATCAGATAGACACCTTTTTGAGTCCATCTTCAAAAATCTTAAAAATGAGAATCTTAAAATAAAAAGCGACCATCTTCAAAATTTGACCTCACTTGACTTGACCTTGACCTGATCTCGACCTGAACGTCTTCCAAATAAGGTCTGTATCACTTATTTAGTATGCCCATCGAGTTCTGTGACAAAATGGCCTCATAAAACATGTGGCGCACATATCTTTTGCTATAGCTCATTTTGGGTGACCTGACCTGACCTTGACATTGACTTTCTTATCACATTATACGCAATGCATCTTGTCTTTGTAGCCAAGAAAGAGGCTACAAAGATCGGCTTCCTCTCGAACGACCATGTTCCAGTTGAAACGCGTAGCCAAGAAACGCGTTTTGTATAATCAATCTCAGTCCATTCTTCACCTACGGCGCTCCAAAGGCGATAATGTAGAAACTTGTAGTTTTGCCCTTACTTGACCTAACCTCTGACCTACTAAGTTTTTTTTTGCTCCAAAGGTCCGTCTTGTTGAGAACTTTCGATTCCCGTTTTCTCAGTCTTTTTACGACCATCGGTTCGGAAGTTGGACAGGGAGTCAGAATCTGCCCCCCCCCCGACCTCCCCCCCCCTCCAGCGGGGTTTGTGCGGCTGAATAGCACAGCGATGCCCGGGCTAGTTTTCCGCGAAGTAATAAACAACGCATGCTAACCACCCATCACAGAAAATATTTGAAATTGGCAAACGGATGATGATATCGCTAAGGTCGGAATGCACGTCTGCATCTGTTTTCGTGTGTTTTTATTTCACAGTATCGATCTCAACAATTTCTGCTAGGTATGGATGGTGTATCACTGCATTTGTTGACGTGCAAACAGGACAGCTACACTGATCCTTGAGCGAAAGGGGCTCGACCCTTTTCTCGGCCTAACCCAAGGCCGGGCGTGGGTCTCGGCCCGCGTCGTCATGGTGAAGGGTCTTTTTGGCCACACCTAATTATCTTATGAACTAAGAAAGCTGAAGAGACGTGAAAAAAGCAATCGATTTCTCTCTATGGCCTCTGTGAGTAAACTGGCTGTCATTTGCCCAGATCAACGCTGCGGTCACTTGAGATCAAAGGGGAAAATTTTTCGTCCAAAATTTCCCCGATTTTGACATTTTTTCAAAGACCAGCACACGCTTCCTGAACCAATGTATGTACTCGTATGTAACATGTAAGTACATACCGAGGTTATCCCCCGCTCAAATACGGTGTCGGGTTTGATTATAAGCCCGCTCAACCATACCTACACGTGGGCACCGCGGCGTACCGTACCCGGCTGATTGGGCTCGGCGTTGGTCACACGATCGATCACATCGTGTAATAGAGAAAACCTCACGACACGGACTGTGCCTCTGAACTGGTGCTTCCAAGTATCGGCGTGGAAATCAGTTGTCTGTTTGCTTCCACAATCATCGCCGAAGTCGGCCAGCCGTTGGAGGGATTACTCGTAACTGGCTTACAGCCATTATCTAGTTCAAACGTTGGAACATGTTCACGCTGCTTTGTTACGCTTGTTTTGTTACGCTAGTTAAAGCATTTTAACGCGGTCGCGCTCGGCGAAACAATGATTTTCATGTTGGACAGGTGTTCCAGCCCAGAGATGGAGGAATTGTGGTGTCTCACTGGGATGAACTCCTATATGAGACCAGTGAGTTGGGAAGCCAGCGAGTCTAATCAATCGGTTAGAGATGCTTAACCCTCGCTCCTCTCCGAACAACATGGGGCCTTCAGAAGCCGGCCAACTTTTATTTCCTTGTCTTTGCTGGCACTTTTCCCATGCACCAACATGAATGCTGTAAACATAAACTGAACTTTTATTGAAATTCATTAGTATCTTATCCACCAGTCCCACGCATCACATGATTGTATTATTTATCGAACACCGCAAAGCGTAAACTATGAGCACTGTATGATTTATACATTTATTGTCAATAATAATATCAATATAAATTAACAATAATGTAAGCAAAGCCAAAATACCGGTACCGCATTAGATAACATGAAATAATATGCCAGCAAATGTGCAGTGCTATAAGCGGAAATTGTTTTTGATAAGATGTTATTGATAAGATACATCTGAAAACTGACCGTCATAATAAGGAAAGCCCTGTAGAAAAGTACATTTAGGATTGGTCGTACCTATATAGTATGCATACATATAACAACAATTTGCGAACAATAGTATACCAATTTTGATACAATTGACTTAGGAGTCAGTTTTTCATGTTCTTGAATACAATGATTGAACTCCGAAGAACCTCACATTTCTCTTTCAAGCAGAACTTATTAACTATGTAATATATACCAACCTTATTTTTAACCAAATATGAAAATAATAAATATAGCCAAACAAACTTATTTTAACCAAACTTATAACCAAACCAAACTTAACGAAACTTAGAATAATGTAACCAAACTTATTATATAATCAAACTTCTATAACCAAACTTATTTTTATAACCAAACTTATTTTTCTTAAACAGCTACGTAACCTCAGTCTATGCGCTGAATAGTTGAATGACTCCACTTCTATCTGTTGAATAGCTGTATGACCTCACTTTCCTCCTCCTTCCCCCACCAGCCGGCATCGACCATGTTTGCGTTGTCCCTGCGATAATCAAACGTTTTTCCGGGCGGCAGCGGCTGTGTCCAGTTGGTCCCGTAGTTAGTCTCTAGGTAGCGTTCCGAGTCGCAGGGCACTCCCACCACCAGGCCGTGCAGGGTGCCCCAGCAGAGCGTGATTTCCGGGTACACCCACCTGTGAGAGGAAGAGAGCGGGTTAGAAATACCGTTGGAGGTGGCCGCGGGGCGTACTGAGTCGTTTACTCATTGACTTTATAATGCATCTTATACCGTGATGTATAGGAGCATGTGTGGCTGCCGGTAGGAGTTAACCCGCACCGGCTGAGGGGGGTGGGTGGGGCGGGTGCCGCCCCCCATAATAGGTTTTTTTTTCGCGATAGCTCCGAACACGCTGGCGTTAGAAAGCTTAAACTTTTTGCGAAGTTATTCACCAAAAACCGTACCTTGGGGCACTTGACCTCACCTCAGAGGTCACCGGTTGACCTAGGACCTTAAAATCGGGTATCAATCTCTGAGTCTCGTAACGGCGCTCACGCTCGTTTTTTTCCGCGGCGCGCTAGCTCCACCAGGTGCGAAACGCCGAGGGGTGGGGGTGGAGGGGGGTCGTACCCGCCCCCCCCCCCCTCGGCCGGCGCGTATGTAGAAAACCAAAAGGTCCGGCGAGGGTAAAGCTGACAATGTTAGACGTTGATGTCAGCTTTGAAAGGAATGTGAATCTACTGCTGATCCCTTATACCCATATAGGTAAGTATGTGATGCTAGTATGTATATATGTACATAGCTACCACTATATACTCGTAGGCATTAGGTATTGGTATCCTGGATTCACATGAGATCTAACATCCTTCTGTCAATCTCTCACCTGTACTTTTTCCGCGTGATCGTGTCCACACCGGCGATGTATCTGCTTTCTCTGTCGGGATACGAAAAGAAAACGTCGATTCTCATCCCATTCTCGTCCTCGAACGCCATTTCTAGGCTGTCGTTGAGCCGGCCGAATTTTGACGCGAGCACAAGTCCGGCAGAGTTTAAAGTTTCCACCAGTTGCGTCACGGTGACGTTATCATTTACGAATGGTTCCACGGCCACTTCTATATCAACGTCATCCATGGCTGACACTAGGTCGCATTGCCGAATGTAGCCTGCGTAACAAGAAAAAAGGGAACATGTCACAATCGTAAATATAATTCAAACATTCCATGGCAGTTACAGGTGTTGGTAATGCAATTATGCATGCTTCAGTACAGAGGTCGCCTATGTAGTTATTTAGGCCTACAACCCTCGTCTTAATGTTCGTAGGCATTCTCACCCCGGTGAAACCGAAGATAACTAGAAGACTAGGCTGGGCAATCACACTAGGTAGCCACTAGGTAATCACAAAACAAGGATATTACATGATTACTCCGCGGCCCGCGCCATAGATTAAGTATAAGTCACAGCGTGGACTTAAAATCAATAGGAGTTAGGTACAGATTCTGGCATTCTTTTACGTTCTATCAATTCGCATAATAGCAGTGATGTCAATAAAACTAGATTTTCAACAGGAAGGTATGTGATATAATTTAATTTTATTTTAAGCCTGAAAATGTGCCAGCCAGCTAGTTTGGAAGATAACACGGGGTAAGAAAATGCCATTTCAATCTCCGAAATTCGCTTTATGACCCTTGCGGGGCGGGTGCGAGCGTCCTGGCACCGTATCTACAGCCACCCCTGACCCCGCTCACCGAGCAGGGTGCCACTGCCCAGCCAGTGGGGCACGCCCAGCGTGTTGCACGCGCTGACGGCAGCAGCCAGCAGCGCCCAGGCGCGCCTCCTGAACCTGTCGGCGTCAGGGCCCTCCTCGCGCGGCGCCAGCCGGTGGTAGGCGGCGGCCAGGGTGCGGTTGCAGGCCCGGTGTCTCGCTGGTGTCATCCCGGCTGGCAGAGTGTCGCCGGCGGACAGAGACGTCGGCTGGAAACTGGCAAACAAACTGGGAGGGCGTTAGGCTCTCGATCTCGATCTCGCTCTCGATCTCGAAGTTATGCAGAGATAAGTGTAGTAGTAAATAACATCAGCTTTCAGCTGTAACACTTCTTTCAAAATAGCATATTCTGAAATCACATTGAATGCAATGCCGGCCCTGTGTGTGTCGCAAATGAATAAAATACATGTGAACAGTACACAATGACGTATACCTACTGCGTGTAAACCAGTACGGGGTGATGGATAGCATATAGCAGTTCGGCATAAAAATGTGTTTGTTGACGGTCTTGCCGCCTTGCTTGCTACTGTCGTGCCCCTGTAAATAAGCCTTGCATCATTGGCGGAGACCGCCTTTCACCCGCGGTTTAATTGATTGCAAGCAAAATGCAAAATACATATGCATCATATAAAATATAAAATACATATAAAATAGTTGTATATCAACACTGGTCTGACATCAATTTTCTCTGAACCGTAACGTCAGTAGGCAAATGTGCATATAAAGGATAGCTGCGTTTGAATAACGGGAGGCTCAACTCCGCCCTATGACCTGAGTAATTAGTACCTATCTTTAATAAAAGAGCCCCGTGCCCTACTGCTGTCGGCGTTACTGTGTGTAGCAGCACTCTCGTCAATCAATGACCGATCACGTTTCCATGGGCACTCGTGATCCGGATCAGCAAATTTAAATCGCATAATATTTCTCAAACTCTTCGTTACAGGTTATAATTCAGAGTGGATTAGGCTTATATAATCAGTCCTTTATTCTAATTTTCATATATTGGCTAACTAGTTATAGTGGACTAGCTAATCCACTTTTGCTGATCGGGATCCCTGGTGCCGATGGAATTGGGCTACTGTCCCAAATGCAAGCAAACAAGCTGCCCACTTGCATGTACTACGTGGACATTTGCGCACTGCCTAGTCTATTTTTACTGTTAACCCTCGCCCTGGCAGGGCATTTTTCATAACACGGCCTGGCAGGGGGGGGGGGGGGGGGTCGATGCGACCCCCCCTCGCGATTGGCTCCTATGGCACCTAGAAACACCAAATTTGGTAGGTAGGTGGGCCCCCTAGAGTTCTCGCCCCTGTGCAAATTTGGTTGCTCTAGGTCAATATTTAGGGGGGTTTTGGGGGGTATAAATGTAAAAATTTCGCTAAAAACGGGTCAAAAGTTTTTCGCTTATAACCTTTTAATCTAATTAAGATAGAGCAAAAAGAAAAGCACCAGTGAACTCAGCACGTCAAGGCGCGTCGAATGATATACTTTTTAGCTTGCTTAAGTGTACTTAAAGTTTTTCTTAAATTTTAAGTAAACTTAAAGTTATAAATTAAGTTCAAGTTAACCAAATTGCATCATATCACATATCATTCGATTCGGCTGATCACCAGGAACACAATGATACTATTTTTTAAGCTCTAGCGTCATTATGTGCCAAGTTATTGGCAAAAACGTCATTTGACCTCAGTTGACCTCATTTGACCTGACCCATGGATAAGTACACCAAAGAACGAAGCACCAAGTGACCTGCTGTTATTTACTATGGATTCAAAGCACAAAAGTGATAGAAAGAAGTAGATATCTCCAGTATTTTCGGAATTTAGTATTTTCCCATAGGCTTAACATTACGACGTAATGACCTCTAACTGACCTCAGGTCAGTGACCTCAAAAACCCGAACTGTATGTTATACAACTCGGTGAACTTAGCATATCCTGAAAGTTTGAAGGAAATCAGTCCAAAACTGTGAGTTGGACAGGTGCAAAAAGAAAATTGAAATTTGACCATTACCTTGTACCGGTTTTTCTGACCTGGTGACCTGACCCAGGGTCACCCGAACCTGAAATTTTCAGGTCATATGTAAAAAGGTTGCCCCATAGGCTGTGCCAAATTTGGCGGCGCTGCGCGCCGCCGTTTTTACGCTATCTTCGAAAAACCTTAGGGGGGGTCGCATCGACCCCCCCTGCCAGGGCGAGGGTTAAACTTCGATGATCATTTTAGTCCCAAACACTTTCACGTGGAAAGTACTCGTGATCCACTCGTCAAACTGCATCGAATGATATATGTATATGTTGACCTCGAAAGGTCAAGGTCAAAGGTTGACCTCAGGTCACGTGACCTCGAGGTCATCATGTATATCATTCAATTTGCCTTGACGAGCCGAACACAATGCGACCATCCGCGCGGCTGTATCTCGTTCCTGTAAGAAGTTATTGGCAAAAAACCGTTTGTGACCTTTGATGACGTCACATGACCTCACAGCCGGCCAACAGCAAAACAGGCCTCAAGTTAGTAAAGGTTGATCGTATTTGAAGTCATGTATGGTATATGGGGCCATTCCGACGCGTTTTAGTGAAAAAAAACAGGGAGTTGATTTTTCCCCCATTGACTTATAATGGTAGGTCGAGAAATCGACCTGACCTTAGGTCATCGATATTGAAATTCCGAGATAAACAAATTGTAGCTACCAATGACCTGATAACATCCTGTGACTTTCAAAGGCCTCCGTCATCTACTGTAGCTCTGACACTGTGGCAAGGTTGCAAAAAAGTGACTTGAGGTTGGGTCATTCAAAGTGACCTGGTGACCTGATCTTAAAAGTTAGGAGGCTCAAACTTGCACACCATTGGTAAAATTGATGAGACAATAATCATGCCGAATTTCGCGGCGCTACGCGCCGCGGTTTTCCCGCTATTAATGAAAAACCTTAGGGGGGCGGATAGCCGCCCCCCGTCGATGCGCGGGTTAATATTTGGTATGCATTCTCCATCAGCTTATGCACAGAAATTAGTGCTTCCTAAGGCCACCGGGCTCTTGAGAGCGGCTGACGCAAAACCATGATTTGTATCAACATCAATTGAACATGACGTCACTCTCACGTCATTTGCGGCCGTTCTGTTCTAAAGTTTTGTCAGGACATTACAAATGTGATGCCAAAAGGACACACACAATTTGGTGACCCAATGAACATTCGTTTAGCAAATAGATATAGGAACGAGGACAGGGGGCCGCTTCACCCCTTGTTTATGTGGCCCGAAACAAAAAATGACCAAAACAAAGTCACCGTTTGACCCCACCCCACTTGCTCCCGAGCCTCAGCCGACGGATGAGGCAGATGGAGGAACCGTTCTGTCCCACCCTTACACTCCGTCATAGTCACGAGCACTGGCAATGAATAAAATATTTGTGATCAAAATAGTATGTGATGCGGTGTAGCAGAGGAGTGTGCAGTGTGCACTCTGCAGCGCAGTGTGCAAGGGTGGAGAAGCGTGGTTCAAGGTTTGTTCATTATCACCAATTTATCTCAGTTTGCAAAACAACGAGGCATTGCACTTTGAGCCGGAGAGCAGCAATCATCGCTGCAACAGACCGGAAGTCATCTGGGAGTGAATTCAACAAGCACACTCTTGTTTGCAACAAGCAAAACAAAAGTTATTTTGTTTAAACCGCGCCGTGCTGGGGGGGGAGGTTCCCTTAAGCTTTTTCGCAAATATCTCAAAAACGGTGGTGCACAGCTGTTCATACCAATACCTCTTTTCTGCACATGCCGTGAAAATTTCAGACCCGGTTCGTTCAAGGTCACGTCACCAGGTCACGTCAAGTGAAAAAGTTCAAAGGCTCGCTATAGATACACCGACTGAATGATCGCTCGAAACTTTCAGCGATTGATAAGAGTAACAGTATGCATAACATGTATATCTAGGAATATTGGTATATGTGACCTAAAGTCAAGTCAATTTTGCGACCTCTCCATTTTAAAGTGACCATCCCACCTAAACTTTACTTTTGAGTTGAGATAGCCAAAATGGGGTACCGGCTTGCACTTACCGGTTTGAACACTCACAACATCGAGAAATGCCTCAAATCGAAAATATCATTTTCAAAGTTGCAGCACTTTGGATGCATTTGAATGCCCCTTTTGAATGTGTGACGTCAGCGTAGATCTAACGATTTTAACGTTTGGTAGCACGCGGTGGTATGTATATAGCTGCTTTGCGCGCAACAAGTACCGCACTTTCAGCTGCCAAACTATTGCTTTCAAATATAGTCGCTAGGAACAGCGGAGATCTCAAAAAGTAAACAAAAGTAAAAGTGTAATATTTTGAAAACCGGTGAATATTTTTCGGTGAAATTTGGTAGATATTTGTTTTCGCTCTTTCTGAACCGAGCGACAACCCTTTCATGCCAATTCATTGACTTTTTGGAGGGTGGGAGGGTCCCTTTAATTCTATTCCGGGTGGGGTAAGGGGGGGGGGGGGCTGCGATGGTTTGAGTGTCACTGGGCCGGCGGGATTGTAGGCCCCTGACTGCGGTCTATGACCCGGGGCGCTGGGTCAGCTGAGTGGCGGTGTGAGCGTGCCGACCGCCGGGCCGGAGCGGCGGCCGGCAGTCTGGAGCAGGGAGGCACCGGTTCTGACGTCACACGAAAATATCAGTCGGCTGGTTGTGGCACTGCCCCCTGCCGGCGCGACTGTGCTGCCACCTAGCTAAGCCTAGTCAGCCTAGGACGGGACGGTTTTATTTGTTCTCGTCTAGTGGTGCAGCTTGCGACGACACTCGGTCGACATAGCTGAGCTGCAACATACCCCAGGTTCGGAGTCTCTCGGACGGCCAATCCTGTTCCATAACCACAGCTAAATCCCCGCTGACCTTAACCAGGATTGGCCGGACGACGTTAAATCTTCGTAGTTCGAGAGACACCGAACCCGGGGATAGTCTATCGAAGCCTTGGCGGCTGAAGAAAGGCTAGACATATCTCACTTGATTTTGGCGTGGCCAGCCTCACTTCTGTAGTTTTGCTTCACAGAATTCTGCGTCCTATTGAGTTTCCGGTTACGTAGTACACGACCACGTTCAGGAACTCGATGTTTTTTTAGATACATCACGTAATGACAAACTTTTGCCAGCATTTACATTGGTTGCCTGCATATTTTGGTGAGGAAAAATCGCTATCGCAGTAGTACAGTCAAGACATACCACAAAGGATCAGAGCTAAAGCAGCATTATTAACCAAAAGTGTATTGCATTGATCACCAGCATGTTCGTAAAATAAAATACATCAGGAATAAAGATGACAACCAAGCCGCATGGACACTTATAACAAACATGAACGATAAAGTGGCAACACAAATGAAAGAGAGAAGATGAATCTGCCCTTCGCAATCGTCAACTTAAAATAAAACTTCAAATATACAACAGACCTCTGTGCATTAAAAGAACACGAATACACTCGCTTTGTCGTCGACACATAATGGGAACATCCTGGCGGCCCAGCCAAACAGCGCGCCCGCCTTCGAGTAGGAAATAGCAGCGGCCGCAGAAGTGGCCAACAGATAACTACCACATTGTTCGTCACGCCACCTGCACTGAAACGTAACAGCTATTTAATCGTGAAATGTAGCTATCCATCCAAAAATGCTGCACTACACCAGCACCACCGCACAGTTAGCAGATAGGTACGGAACGCAGGTCCTGGTCTCTGTCTCTTCCGAGTAGGGTCTCCGGACCGGTCACCAGCGCCACCATCTCCGCGCGGTAGCTAAAGCACAGCTCTCCGGCCGGGGCCCGCAGTTCCTCGGCCTCTTCGTCCAGCCTTGTCCTTGTTTTGACGTGAGTGAATGTGCAAATGTTTTGAATGATTAGATCAGCAGCCGCGGTTACGGATTCTGAGCAGTAATCGCCACGCACTTTGTATGTGGATCGCTCTTAAATGTAAATACAAATACAAATACAGCCAGACCAGCACGGCTCCCGCCCAGCACCTGAAGACTCCGCCCTCCGCAGATCCGTCCGTCCAAAGCCGGACAGCACACAGGGGCAGGAACGCGAGGTGCAGCGTAGCCACGCTTTCCCTTTCCGCCGCCGTGGCCCCAGCCCGGATCGGGCACTCGTCCAACCGGAAGGTGACGCCAGCCGTCTGTTGACACGGTGGGATTCTCGCTCTCGCCCAGGCCTGGCGGCCTCGCAATCTCCAGCCTCGGACCGAAGACAGGCGCGCCGGTGCCGAGGCCTTGGCGGTCGCGCGCAGGAGGTCCCCTGATGGCAGAGCCAGCGCCCTCCCCAGCAGCCTGGCAGCCAGCGTCCAGCTTCTCTCCTCCATCGGAGAAAGTCGGGCTTCCGCCATTAGTGCGTGGCACGGTGTTGAGCGCGGACACAGGTGATGATGCGGCCGCCTCTCGCAGTCCTCGCTCCAGAAGATTCACGTGCGAGGGGGCGGCCGCCGGCAGCCACGCGACGGCAGCGTGTTCGAGCGCCCCTCGGACGTAACCGATTGGCCACCGTACTAAGGGCACCCTCGTCCAGGCCCCAGCTATTCAACCAGGTCGACGGCGCCGTAGCCGTCACTCGAGCCACGCCACAGAGCTCACGCCTCAAAGCGGTTGGCTCTCCGGTCCTCGGCATCCGGCATCCGCAGTGATTTGGCGTAGCCAGGACAGGTGAGATGCCGGCCTCAGTCATAACCGGAAAGCCTGTAAAAAAAACAATATGTGATTGACAAATGGAAATATATTGTAAGCATAGAGTTGATAAATCATGACGCACACTGCATTGTGACAGTAGATACTTCAGTGCGATTGGCAGAGGAGGGACTTATTGTAAGAAAACAATGACCAATTGAGGCATTGATTTGGTTCTGTAGGTAGCTACCTACCCTTCACATATGAATGTGGATGATTTGTACCATTAAGAAAAACCATAGGCGTAGGAGCGGAGGGGGGGGACATGCCCCCACTTTTCAGCTATGCTAATTTTTAAAGTAAAATATTTATTTTTCATTTAAATTCAAAACTAAGAGCAAGAAATGGTTCGGCAAGGTGAGATGAGCACGAAACTGCAAAGAATTTGTTCATAGGGGTATTACGGTTCCCACAAAGTGACATTGAAGTTCTCTGCCCCCCCCCCCCCCAAACTTTACGTGAGGTTCCTGCGCCCATGGAAAAAACACATTGCATTATGTGCATCAACACTTAACCCTTGCACGAGGGCCACAAAGCCCACTATAAAGCCCACAAGACACCATCTGAAATCAAAGCATGACAAATGATAGCATGTAGGCACCTGACGGCTGACCTACTACATATAACCTACTGAACAAAACATACCACATATATCAATATTGTGATAATGGATTCCTGGCTGCATGGAATGTGGATGGTTTGTGCTGTGTGCCTGGGCATGTTCTGGTGGGATTGGGCCCCTGCATGGCGCTGCATGTGACGAGCGCTTGTGCATGTCTGCAGCTACTGATTTGGGGTCCCTGTTTCCAGGATAGCTTGAGCGTGCTGGGCTGCTAAGTAAATACAGTTCTTAGAAGAAGAGGTCTTTACTACAATATGTATGTGCAGATAAAGTATGAATGCTAGGTTGATACCAAGGCTGTTTAGTAGACTGTAGGTATGCTGAAAGGATGAAAGATGGGTATTTTTTCAAAAAAATATCTGATCTACAGTTCATATGAACATGCAACATGGGGTTAGGTAAGGTTTGATTTTTGTTTTGTACCAGACTGGAAATAATACACGTTATGCCTTATATGTCCGGCATAGTGGCGGGATTGCGCCGAAAATTTCAGCGCATGTCCGGCGTAGGTAACTTCGCATGCGCCGAATTCGGCGCATGGCGGCAGACGCCATAGCCTTGATATAGCCTTGATCGGTAGATGTGCACATGTGCTTTATATAAAAAGGGTTTAATTTTTGCACAAATAGGTACCTAATTTTTGGCGCAAATTACACAGAAATTTCAGTGTCTGGGTACCCACCTTCCTGTCAAGTTGATACTTGACACACCATCCTGCTATCTGAGGCGGCCCAGGAACCAGCTCAGGCAATTACAATGAAAGTCAACAGTCGTGCGGGAATTACACCACTCCCCATTAAAATCTGATATTGATATCAAGTAATTAGTTAATGACGATAATCCCGCCACCACAAATCTTATGAAACACATCAACATTGACCTTTGATATTCCGAAAAGAAATACCCATACCCATAATGATTTAAAGCGAACGTGTTCTTACGCAGCTGTGACATAAGCTGCGCATACGAAAAACACCAGCTAGACCAATTGATGGCGAATAAACCTGTTGATGAAGAAATACTTGTCTCCCATTGGTCTGTGAACACAATCTGCAGGAAACGCAGCTTAAACTACAGTAAAATTTTGCAGGAAATTCTGCAGAAAGTAAGAAAAATGCAATTTAAACATATTTAGCCAATGAGTCTGGCCAATCTGTTGATATATTCCGATAGATATTGAGCACGATCAGTCATTTTGAAAGAATTACGGTCCGACTCTCTTTATTTTTAAAGCAATGACGCATAATATGATTATTGAAAAATTGACAAATATATCTTCTTGGAGGGAAAAGTGGGACTAGCGTTAAGTTAAAAATCAAAATTAATACACTGATCGAGACCTCGCTTTCAAAAGTATATATCAGTGCATTTTCGCATCGAATCTCTCTCAATCATGAACAAACTTGGGCAAAAACAGCAAGATTGCCTGTTTTGTCAATTCACACATTTTCATATTTGGGGGCAATTTTAAAGTTGATGGCCAATGTTTTCAAAGTCAACATTTCCACAGGAAAAAATACAGCTATTTTTCTTCCAAATTCATTCATTTGTAGAGTCCGACTCTCTCTTGTTTTCTCGCAGTTTCCGTTGTGATTTGAGAGAAACGATCATGTGTATCATAAGCGTTTGGCTCACTTCAAGACGGCAGAATTTGCACTTGCATTTTCTGCCGTGTGGAAGACCAGAGGGAGTCAACTAATTTATGACAGAATGTGCTTAAAAAATGACTGGTGAATAATATCTTTTGTCAGTGCCTGACAAATATTTATATTTTAAATCACGCTCTTCAGCTGTCAAGTGAGCTCCAAATGGCCTAAATTGTCAGCTGTTTATCATCCTAGGTCAGCTCAAGGTCACAGACGTCAGCTGAAGAAAGTGGTGACCATTGGCCCTGTGTTGAGCGGACAAACCGGTGTTACCTAGTATTCTATGTACCGTGGTCTGGAGTTGGAGCGGTGCCAATAAAGGTCCGTGCTGAGCCTGGATGTTACAATTGGCGACGAGGTGAATATCGTGCTATGGAAGATGGCTGAAGGCTTCAGTTTAGCCCCATTTGATTTACGCGAAGATGTGTGGGAAGAGTGGTTCGAGAGATTTGAGTTTTACTTGGATGCAAGAAATGTGACTGACAGTGGCAAGAAGAAGTCCTACCTGCTTTCACAATGCGGTAAGGATACCTATTCTGTGTTACGGAGTTTGGTGTCGCCAGGCAAAGTCGGTGACAAATCGTACACAGAAATTGTGACTTTGCTCAATGGTCACTTGAAACCTCGAACGTCTGTGACTGTGGCTCGATTCAAATTTAACACGTGCTGTAGAAAGGAGGGCCAGTCAGTAGCAGAGTATGTTGCTGAGCTGAGGAAGCTGACTGAGCACTGTTCTTTTGGAGAGACCCTGAATGAGATGTTGAGAGATCGTTTGGTATGTGGAGTGAATGATGCTCAGATGCAAAGGAAGTTGTTGTCGGAAGAGACACTGACATTTTCTCAGGCTAACCGGATTTGTCTGTCACTAGAAGCGGCTTCCAGGGACGCCAGGATCATCGGAGGACAGGAGAGCACCGTCAACGAGATCTCTGTGCCGGGTCGGGACGTGACGCCGGGTGGGATCAATGAAGTGCACGCCGGCCAACGCAGTCGCGGTAAGCCATGCCACCGCTGTGGCCTTTCTCATCCGGCCCAAACATGTCGCTACGCCAGCTTCAAATGTTTCAATTGTGGAAAAATTGGCACGCCGTTGTGTAGTCCCCAGAGGGAGCGGAGAACAGTCTCAAACCCGACGAGGGGGCTCCCAGACAACCAGGCTGGTGGAAAGGGACCCGCCCATTTCTGACGAGTCTGATTCTGACTCAGATAGGATTCATACTGTAGTCAACGCCGTTCAAAATGCGGCTCAGCCGGTCATTGTTGATGTTGATGTCGAGGGCACAGTCATACAAATGGAGGTTGACACGGGCTCGGCTGTCTCGCTTTTGAATGTGAAGACGTTTCAGGAGATACATCCGACTCCTGAGTTGAAGAAGCCAAAGTCTGTCCTCAGAACCTACACTGGAGCCAAGATTCCGGTCGTGGGTGAATTCATCGCGGACGTGAAGTACAACAACCAGGCGAGATGGCTTCCACTGGTGGTGGTTGGAGGAGATGGACCAAACCTCCTCGGGCGCGACTGGCTTGGGAACCTGAAGCTGGACTGGTTCAACATGTTCTCGGTGAGTGGAAGTGATGCTGTCACGGCTCTGAAAGAGAAATACGCTGAAGTGTTCAGGCCAGGCCTGGGTGAGCTCAAGGGGGTGAAAGTTAAACTAGACATTGACAGTAGTGTGGCTCCCAAGTTTTACAAACCGAGGCCGCTACCTTTTGCATTGAAGAAAAGGGTCGATGAGCAGCTAAAGCGAGAGATTGACATGGGTGTGCTTGAACCAGTTGGACATGCAGCTTGGGGTGCTCCGATTGTACCGGTGTTAAAGTCAGACGGCAGTGTCAGAATCTGTGGGAATTTCAAGCTGACAGCGAATCGTGCCATTCGTGTTGACAAATACCCACTTCCAAGGATAGAAGATCTCTTTGCCTCACTGGCGGGAGGCAAAGTCTTCACCAAACTCGATCTGAGCCAGGCCTACCAGCAGTGCGTGGTGGATGAAGACTGCAGAGATGTCCTGACGATTAACACTCACCTTGGACCTCTCAGGTATCGACGCCTGGGCTTCGGTGTCAACTCGGCGGTGGCGTTGTTTCAGCGAGAGATGGAGAAGTTGTTGAATGGTATGCCTGGTGTCTGTGTTTTCCTAGATGATGTGCTCATAACTGGGAAATCCCAGAACGACTGCTTACAGCGCACATCTGCGGTGTTGGAGAAGCTGCAAGATGCCGGACTCCGTGTGTCGGAGAAGAAGTGCAAATTCTGCGTGGACAGCGTGGAGTACCTGGGACACAGGATCGACGCTGAGGGCTGTCACCCCACAGAGGCGAAGGTGAGAGCCATCCACTCTGCGCCAAGTCCCAAAAACGTGTCAGAGCTGAAAAGTTTCTTGGGCATTCTGAATTACTATGCTCGTTTTCTACCAAACCGATCTGAGGTACTGTCACCATTGCATGAGCTTTTGAAAAAGGATGTTTTGTGGGCCTGGGGACCAAAGCAGCAGAGTGCTTTCAATGAGGCAAAAACGTTGATAACGTCGGAACGAGTGCTGGCGCATTTTGATCCAACCGTTCCTCTTGTGCTCACTTGTGACGCATCCTCTGTTGGCATTGGCTCAGTGCTCTCACACAGATACAGAGATGGGTCCGAGAAGCCAGTGGGGTTTGTTTCACGATCGCTATCCAAAGCTGAGCAGAAAATGAGCCAAATTGAGAGGGAGGCGTTGGCCTTGGTGTTTGGCGTCACGAAGTTTCACCAGTATTTGTTTGGAAATGACAAATTCATTTTGGTGACTGACCACAAGCCACTGGTCAAACTGTTCGGTGAGCATGAAGGGATTCCGGCGACAGCATCCGCAAGGATTTCGAGATGGGCGCTACGGTTATCCGCGTACAATTACACGATTCAGTACAGATCAACGACGCAGATAGGACATGCCGATGGTCTCAGCAGATTACCGCTTCCCGTCTCGAAGGAGCGTGACCATGAGGTGTCTGAGATGGTGTGTTTGTTGCAGAGCTTGGAGGAGGAGTTTGCATTGGACTCCTCCCGGATTGCTGCGCTGACGTCTCGGGACACTCTGCTGAGTCGGGTGCGGCAGGCCATAGAGACTGGTGAGTGGCCTGACGAGGAGGACATCCGCTCATTCTTCCACAGGAGAGATGAGCTGTCGGTGATCCGCGGAGTGCTGCTGTGGGGCAGCCGCGTGGTCGTGCCTGCCAAGGCACAGAAGCACGTTTTACACGAGCTACATGAAGGACACCCTGGGGTGAGTCGGATAAAAGCTGTGGCGAGAACATGTGTGTGGTGGACTCATATAGATGGAGACATCGAGCGATTCGTGCGCTCTTGCGATGGGTGCCAACAAACCAGGCCCCATCCTGTAAGAAACGAGCTACATCAGTGGAATTGGCCGAGAAAAATTTGGTCGCGAATTCATGTCGATTACGGCGGGCCTGTGAATGGGAAGTATGTACTGGTGGTCGTTGATGCAACATCGAAATGGGTGGAGGTTGTGTTGACGACTTCTACGTCCAGCGCTGTTACCGTGGATGCTCTTCGTTTGCTGTGCTGCAGGTTCGGCCTCCCGGACACCATCGTCTCGGACAACGGTCCGGCCTTCATCGGGGAGGAGTTCCAGCGGTTCACGAGGAGGAACGGCATCCGTCATGTGAGGACGGCTCCTCACAGGCCGGCAAGTAACGGGTTGGCGGAAAGGTACGTCAAGGAAGTAAAGTATGCGCTTCAAAGATCTACTTCCGGAACCATGTCCGTCAAACTTGCTAAATGGCTGATCAGCTGCCATTCAACACCCAATGCAACAACGGGGGTAACGCCTGCTTCAATGATGTTCGGTCGAGAGTTAAAGACGAGACTGCAACTTCTCAAACCGGACTTGGAACGAACTGTAGAGCAGCAGAAGGATAGACAGAAAGAGTACTATGATATGCGTACTAAAGGCCGTCAATTTCAGGTGTCCGACAGAGTCTACGCCAGAGGCTTCGGGAGCTGACCGGTTTGGTCGCCCGGAGTGGTCGTCTCTCTCCTCGGTGCAACGATGGTGGAGGTCCGGCTGGACGATGGTCGACTGTGGCGCCGTCACTTCGATCAGCTGCGGTCTGCGGGCGACTCTGCTCCGAAGAATCGCACGGAGACGGACGTCTGCGACTTCGGACGGCTGCGGGAGAGGCGGGACCTGGCGGGTGGCGAGCCGGACGAGGGTTGGTTGGAGGACGATCAGCAGGAGGATCCCGTGGTGATCTCGGACCGGAGACCGGCGGCTGACGCCGGCCAGCCTGAGCAGAGCTCGGAGAGTCCCGGAGTACAGTCGTCTCCGGCTGCTCGTCCCCCCTCTGGTGCGTGCGTGTGTGCGGGTGATCAGACTTCGAGTGCGCGCGCGTGTACAGGTGATCAGAGTCAGACTTTGAGCGAAGGGACTGCCACGGGCGTGACTCGGGATTCTTTGGTGTCCCGAGGGCTGTCGGGCTCACTAGAGAGAGCGGAAGGTGTTCCGTCGGTCACACTGCGTCGATCACAGCGGGAACGACGCAAGCCGGACTATTACAGACCCGGTGCTGGGTAGATATGTGTTAATGAACACTTGAGACTTCTGTGTAGCTGTTGTGTTCTTTTCGTTTCTGAGCCAGGAATGGCGTTTGTTGTTTGTTTGTTGTTGTTTTTTTTTTTTTTTGGAGGGAGGTAATGCGATGGTTTGAGTGTCACTGGGCCGGCGGGATTGTAGGCCCCTGACTGCGGTCTATGACCCGGGGCGCTGGGTCAGCTGAGTGGCGGTGTGAGCGTGCCGACCGCCGGGCCGGAGCGGCGGCCGGCAGTCTGGAGTTGGAGCGGTGCCAATAAAGGTCCGTGCTGAGCCTGGATGTTACAGGGGCAAAAGGCAACCTCAGGTTTTTCTTGTGCCATGGCCAAACGCCGCAAGATATTCAGCTCATAGGGTTGCTTATTAGCGACCTTTTCCTTTTCGCAACCCATCCCCTACAGAAAAGCTGGTAAGAGACATCGGGGAGAAAACAATGTCAAAAGGACTGCCATACAATAGCTCAAGAAGAAAAATGAATGGGAAAAGAGAAAAGGGAGAATGAGGGGCTGCTGAAGCTTGCGATGTGTGGCAGGTGATACTCATTGTCATGGCAGACTGCAGGGGTGCTGAATCCAGTGGGGGCCTCCAATACAATACGGGATAACCTAAAAAAATTGGGTTTCGCTTTATTTTCGCCTTTGGTGCATTACGTGATCAGCTTCCACAAACATAAATGTGCTTGCAAAATGCTCCTGTTCCAGTGATTAGGTGCATGGCGTATATGATATATTGATGTATCTTATTTCATGTTTTCGAGCGTAACATTTTCGCCATTTTTACTATGGGGAAACCCATAGACTTTTACCGACCCTCCCCGGTCACTAATCGGGGCAAGTGCCCTATAAACGTTTTTTGCAATGGTTTGCCAAAACGCTCACTACAAATAAATTTGTGGATAGTGGGGCAGAAAACGAATATATTCTGATAAGAAAGTGAACGACCTTTCCAAAAATCATTCCAGTAATACAGTGGCACCCATAAAGCAAGAGCAGTGACGGTTCAAATTAAGGGGTCGCTAATTAGGCATCTTACCCTACTTGATGACATTTCCTAAATATTCATTGCGCACATTACAGCAAGCAAATTACCGGGTCAGGTCAGGCCAGGTCACCAGAACGGGTTTGTTGACCCCACCTCAGAAAAGTTTGAAATGACGTCAGAGCTAGAGTTTTTTTTTTTCACGGAGCGATTTCCTCTCTTCCGGTTTTCATTACAGTAGGTACCACTACCAGTGCATGTGTAATTTGTACCTATATCTCAGAATTTTTACATCTGTAACCTGTGGTCAGGTCAGAGTCATGGTCCAAGTTAAAAGCCTATGGAAAAGCATTTAAATGCGTCCTGCTTCGAGTAAACGAGTCAAAACCACCCAACGAGGATTATGACAGATTATCTTATCTGTAATGACCCAGGGCCCAATCTTACCAATGCCGTAAATAGGATTTGGCAGCACTGGCCGGAGTTAACGGCTCTGATATCAAAGATATTTCTTTTATTTACACTCAGCTAATCTTGTCCAATGATTTTGATAGCGTGAATGATTATGAATGTTGCCTGAACAAATAAACAAGTGAATGTGGAATAGTTCTGAATGTTACCGAATGCCGTGAATGCGCATTCACGGCATTTGGTAAGATTGGGCCCTGGTGCCATTTACTGACGGGGCAACGTGAAAGGTCATCTGAGGTCATGTGACGTAATCCATAGTTTTTAGCCAAAAAATTACGAACTGTTGGTGCTAAAGACATGTGTGTGTGTGTGTGTGTGTGTGTGTGTGTGTGTGTGTGTGTGTGTGTGTGTGTGTGTGTGTGTGTGTGTGTGTGTGTGTGTGTGTGTGTGTGTGTGTGTGTGAGAGAGAGAGAGAGAGAGAGAGAGAGAGAGAGAGAGAGAGAGAGAGAGAGAGAGAGAGCGAGAGAGAGAGAGAGAGAGAGAGAGAGAGAGAGAGAGAGAGGAGAGAGAGAGAGAGAGAGAGAGAGAGAGAGAGAGAGAGAGAGAGAGAGAGAGAGAGAGAGAGAGAGAGAGAGAGAGATGATTTATTTGAGCATCCATATTCACTCTTGTCGAAACATTACGATTGGCGTAGAAGCGCTATGGCGCTTAACCCTCGCACGACCAGGCCATTTCTCATAACACGAACGACCAGGGGGGGGGGGGTTGTTACGACCCCCCCTGGCGTTTCGAAACGGAAGGTCGTAGAGCTTAGCGGAAAAAAACAACGGATTGCTCTCAACGAGATCTCGAGATTGGTGGTATATTTTTTGGTCCTAGGTCAACATTTGACCTACTTATGACCGGTCAAAGGTCAAATTTTCCGAAAAAAATCCAACTTTTTTAACTTTCCGCGGCGATTGCGGCAAAACGGTGGGAGATATCGACTTGAAACCTTCACTATCGTGTTCCTTGATCAATTATCTATCGTTTGGTATGTATTTCGTTTCCCTAGCTCTAAAAATGGCGCGTTGGGAGCGCCGGAAGTCGGCAAGGTCACAGTCGACGGCAGAAATTCGAAAAATCAAAATTTAAATTTTTGAAATCTGATTGTATTTTTGGATTTGGGAGGTCCATTTGCTCCCTATAGAAGCTAATATTGCTGCATATTCCCATTGAGGTGACAAGAATTAGCAAAATAGTGGTTCGGGCGCTTTTCAAAAATAGTACCGGACGCTGTTCCTCTTGTGACGTCATAGCTCCGTGACCTGACCTGACCCGGTCAATTTTCTTGCACCACATGATAGCCAATGCTTGCCCCAACATGCATGGGAAGTTTCATCATGATCCATCAAACAATGTGGGTATCACCGGCAGAAAACCTAGGGATTCGGCGCACACGTTTGGTAACTGTCGGCCGGAGGCTGTACCTCTTATGACGTCATAACTCCGTGACCTGACATGACCCGATCAATTTTTTTCGGCAAAAGATGCGCAAAGGTTGCCCCAGAGGGTATTGAAAATTTCAGCCCGCTACGACAAGCCGTTTAGCGTGCACTTTGAAAAAACCTCAGGGGGGGTTGATACAACCCCCCCCCCCCCCCTAGGCGTTCTAGGGTTAAAACGAGACGCCGCTCGAAACACGTAGAAAGCAGACAATAACACTTCTAATCGAACACTACTAATCACTACTGATCTTAATCAAAATGTCAATATTAACATAGGGAAGTCGACCCTGCCTTGGCCGAAGCGCCTGTCCCCGCCCCTACTCGCGCCATTGCTCTGTATTCCGAAATGGAAGTGCTGCTCCTAGTTCTAGCAGGCAAATATCCGCGTAATGTAAATAGTGCTTAACTGTTTGGTCATGACGCGTTGATTGGTATCCAGCGGGACTTTCCTATGTCAAATTTTGAAGTTGGTCTATCAAGGTCATGCAAGTATCTGTTTCAAACATTTTTGAAACAACCACTGAGTAAGCTGACATTGTTTTCAAAGTTGAATCAAAATACCTTAATGTTGTGTAAGAACGTTATGTAATAATACCAATTAATTATCTTTACTTACCTAGCACCAACCAAAATAAGTGCAGAGCAGAACGCCAGCCAAACGACCACCGCTAACTTTCGATGCCGAAAAATCAGAGTACGGTGCGAGGCCATTTCGAGCAGCGCCCAGCCTGGCCAGAAGTCCCGCACTAAAGCCGGCCCTAAAAGCGACTGCCGAGTGCAGGGTGCAGAGACAGGTCGGCGCGACGACCGTCCCGCGGAGCACGTGATCGATGACGTCACAACTATAGCCGCTTAATAGATTACAATTGAGAAGTTTTCTGCAAGCTTGCGCAGCTCGTAAATTTCTGACTCGTAAAGACTCGTAATTTTCTGATCATATGACATGCTTGCTAGTTACTAGTCCATTATGCATATTTTCACTGAGCGACTTTGTGGACAGTGAATATAGCCGTTTCACGACGGTTATCTTGACTTGTCAGATTTGGTGCAATTTGGTCAAATTAGACTAGTAGTTGATGCTTAATAGATCCCAGCTTAGGCTGCACTTTTTGCTTTTATCCCTGAATTATCAATTTATCACACATTTTTCGATTAAGGGATTGAAATAAATTCGTGATATGAAGATATTTGTTGTGAAAGAGATTTGGTTCGATTTGGTAAGTTTGGCAAAGTCACTGGCCTGTTGTGAAAACGGCTATGATCAATCATATAGGATATGCTATTTTTTTTCTGAGGAAAATGACGCTCCTAACTCCTAAGCACTCAGTCAGGAACTCGCACAGCTTAAAGTATGACACCATGCTTCAACTGCACACGATTTTCATATCCAGGCAATCGTTTCCTGCTAAGTTGTCAAATTACAAATACCTTTAGCATGTACGGTGACGCAAACCCCCGAAGCGAGGTATAAAAGGAGCGGTAGGGCTTCTACGTAGTTAGTCTCTCGTGTTTGAGCGACGTTCCCCAAGTCGATCACGGACAGCACGTCGGCAGCCGCTGCGTCATGTTCTCCGGCACCGTCACCGTCTGCCTGCTGCTCGTCTGTGTAGCTGTTTGTTCGGCTTCGTCCGGTGAGTGCACAGTGCACACCACTAATGCAAACAATTCCTTCAGCTGGGTTAATTAACAATTGTGGTTCATTTAAGAGACGCAGTGGTGCGTAAATATATCAGGGTTTCGTTCCTATTAGGCCCTAGGTTCATAGTGCTTCGGCTTTCCTTATCAATCATCCTAAAAATATTTTGCTGAGGTATATACGAGTAGCGGCGTGGCCCAGTTACCCATGTGACTGGGGGACGCCGTCTAGCCGACGCTGATTTATGTACTCGAGGGGGAGGGGGGTGTCGTGTTACGCCAGTGGCGGCGGCGACTACAGAATGATGTTCCACTTTTCACAGGCAATTATTTGCCTGGAGTGGTAGGCTGTGCCGCATCACACGGGATGAGTTCACAAATTATAGCTTTGTCCCAATGCTCACAATCGACACGCTTAATTGCGTGATAAGCGGCACAACTTAGCGCTCCGGTCAACTGATAGCTTCTGAGGAGTGGAACATCATTCTGTAGTCGACTATACTGACGGGCCGATATGGCAAGCGCTAATGCTAAGTTGCTATTCCAGATATTCCGTTTTTTTTTCTCGAAAATCGAAAGACTTTTTGGATTATTTGGCTATTATATAGCCATGGTATTTCTACACCTTTTATGTCTTGAACGTTCTTTTTCTTTTGTATCCTTAAATCTATAGGTCTGACAGTTCTTCGCGCGAAACCTTTTTTTGGGGGCGAAAGCGGCAGAACATGCTAAAGCTAAATACTACTTACATACATACGTTGTAGGTGTATTTATGCGCTTTGAGATTCATATAAAAAGGTATGCAATAAAGTAAAGGGAACTCATAATCAAGTCGTGAGCCTGTTTATTTTGTATATGTTTTTGTTTTGTTGGGTTAGGCCCTTTCGGTCCAATTAGACCATTTCAGAGCCGGGAGGATGATAGGATATAGGGGGAGACATTGGTCTGGGCAGGCACCCTAGTGAGTCGCCGGGGCTGAGCCCGTCCAGAAGACAGGCCACCCAGCCCCAAGGCACTCACTGCACCCGGCTACGGGGTGCGCTCCCTCGGGAGCAGCGGTGCCGCTCCAAGGGAGCAGCCCGCATGAGATAAAGTTGCCTTATTTTGTATACAAAAGCGAAGTTAATTAACACGCGCCCCTGGTGGGGGGGGGGGGGCTATTCTTGCCCCACCCTCCAGACTTTTTCATATATCTCCAGAACCGCTGCGCAGATCGTCACCAAACTTTCAGTATCCTCCCGGGTACCAATTTTACATATTGTGACAAAAAAAAACATCCAAAGGCTATGATAGGTTGGTCGCAAATGACGTCAGAGTGACGTCATGTTCTGCGCTTACGACCAAAAAAGAAAAAGGTTTTGCGGGAAGAACTGTCAGACCTACCTACAGCTTTGAGGATACAAAAGAAGAACGTTCAAGACATAAAAGGTGTAGAAATACCATGGTTACCTATATAATAGCCAAATAACCCAAAAAGTCTTTCGATTTTCGAAAAAAAACGGAACATCTGTGATAGACCCTACCGACTTCTCTTCACATACCAAATTTTAGAACGATACCTCTTTCTTGCCCAAGTTATAGCGAAAAAACTGTTCAAAATTGATGGCGTCAGAATTTTCAAACTCGATCAATTCTGAGCAATTCTAGACCACGTTGCGCAAAACAAAGACCATCATCAGAGTCGCCGTGACGAGCTGCATCGCATCAATACCTACCCACTTTATGCAAAAATATCAACTTTGAAATTTGACCTTTTTTGACCTGACATTGACTTGACCTCCACCAGTAAGTGACCTAAACAGTTCCTGATGGTCTTATAACCAACACCATTGAGTTGGAAAAGAAAAATTGGCCATGGAACATGCATTGCACAGCCCTAGTATAACTGGGCTCATGTGCTGACCCTTGGTGACCTGACCTGTGACCTGACCTTGCATTATCAGTGACCTCTAATAGCAATATATGTACTAGGCAACTGACATCCTCTCGCTGATTTTCGATAAAATGGGTTTTACGTTATGCTATAGCGCATTCCCTAGAAGACCCGTCAACGGCAAACCATTTTATATTTGGCCTGACCTGTGACGTCATCGGTGACCCCGAGGTCAATGAAATTGGATTTCCCTTAACACATTTGATAGGGCTTTCGAATGCCATTTGAATTTTACGGAGCCGTTAATTAGTTTCGGAGATACGAGGGAGGGGGGGGGGGGGCAAAAATAGCCCCCCCCCCCACCAGGTCGCGTTATAAACAGACGCCACCAGGGCGCGGGTTAATAACTGTAGCTACCACCTATTTCTGCATATTGCCCGTCTTAGCCCGCGCCCCGTAGGGCTATCGGCGGACTACCTACCACCCGTAGGGTGGGGGTGGGGGCGTTTCGGGCCCCCAAGATCTCGGAAATTTATCGGCCGATTTTCAAAATTCAAACGGTGTTCGATAGCCACACCGGGGAACTACCTGGTGACCAAAAATCATTGACGTAGGTCAAACCGTTGACGTCACAGGTCAGGTCAAAGGTAGGATTTTCACCGTTCACAGGCATTTTAAGAAATGTGTTGTGAAATCGAGTAAATTGGTAAGTCTAGTTATTGAAAATCATCGATGGTAAATTGTTCTTCAAACACATAGGGGAGACCAGGGAGGTATGGGCCGGTTTTGTGAAAAGGCAATTTTCTTCCAGTGGGCAGTGGCTAGACCCAGTTTTTCACTCTGTGTACGTGAAATTGCCTTTCGTCTGCAATGTGTGCCGGATATAAGGCATCTGGGATCAACTATTTTGTCTCGAGATAACTTTCAATAAATCATGTGCTTTTTCGATCCATTAACCCGCGCCCCGCTGGGGGGGCAGAATCTGCCCCCCTCCCGTTTTTCGCCAATAACTTCTAAACGCGTTACGACAGCGACGTCAAACTTTTAGTACCTTATCATACATCAATTTGACACGTTCCCTGAAAATTTGAGCGAAATCCGTCGGAAATTTTTTGAGAAATTGACGTTTTAGTGACGTCATGTTCGCCATTTTCGCCTCAAAAATGGCAAAATTTCAAACGCCGCTAACATCTTCATTTTTAAAGGAATCAAGACGTAACAAAAAGGTTATACGTGATTTAACTTTGTCTATCAAATGGCTATCTCGGTTTTTTGAAAATTTTGGATTTTGGCGCAAATTTTTTCAAAAAACTGACTTTTTTGGGAAAATATTTATAAAATCCAAAATTTTCAGTGTATCGAAAAATCGGAATATATGTCAAAGAAGTGGTCTATGTGCACCTACATACCAATTTTTAGAAGAATCGGTTCAAAAATGTGGAAGTTATTCAAAATTTTATGACGTCACGACACACAAAAATTTTGAAAAATGATTGGTTTTGAAGTTCTAGATCTCGTACGGAAACAAAAATAGCACCATTCGATTCGCCGTGAAAAACTACATCAGATAGACACCTTTTCAGGCCTTAACAACCAACTTCAAAATTTGACCTCACTTGACCTGACCTTGACCTGACCTCGACCTGAAATTCATCCAGAGGTGGTCCATATCACTTATTGAGTGTGCCTATTGAATTATGTGAGTAAAATGACCCATAAAACATGTGTCGCACATGCCCTTTTCTATATTTTGTTTTTGGTGACCTGACATGACCTGACCTGACCTTGACCTTGACCTTTGAATGACATTGTATGCAACGAATATTGTCTTGGAAGTCTAAGAACACGTTTCGGGCAATCAGTCTCAGTCCATTCTTCGGCAACTACGGTGCAAGGCCGATAATGTAGAAACTTGCATCTTGTACCCTTGACCTGACCTTGACCTGACCTCTGACCTACTTAAGCAAAACAATCTGGGCTCTTAAGATCCGCCTTGTTGAGAGCTTTCGATTGCCGTTTTCCCCGTCTTTCTACGACCATCGGTTCGGAAGTTAGACAGGGGGGGGGGCAGAATCTGACCCCCCCCCCCCAGCAGGGCGCGTATGGCTGAATAGCCCAGCGGGGCGCGGGTTGAAATAACCCGGAGGTATGGGCCATGGCCCAGGAGGTATGGGCCGGTGCCATGTTTCATATTCTTTTCTCGACAATGAGAATTGAGAATCATACTTGTAGCTGGTATCTACCTTGATCTCTCTTAGAGCCCAGGAACCACATAAGCGGCCAACAGCTTACTTCATGGAGGTCACTTGGGCCCATATGTATTTTGGTAAACTCAAGCATGCACCATGACATAAGATCAGTAATATTTTTCTGTTCGAATGAAATTTGAAGTTAAATTTTCGACTTTGCGCGACAAAAATAAAACTTATTGACGGGGACATTCAATGAAAGCATCTTTTTATTCATTTAGGATCGACCGGATGGGTGGCCCGAACCTCTCGGTTAGGAGGCCAGAATATGCGTGCACCTCAGCTCATAATCTTGCAAGAAAGCTTCAAATTGTCTATCCAGTCTTAATTTGCATGCTTTAAACTTTATCTTAGCGATGGTCTGACATCATAAAACGAGCCTGGTTCAAATTTATCACGAATTTTCTGTATGTACAGTATTTTACTCGAAGAGGGCAAAAACGCTTTATCACCGCTCGTTGCCAAAAAAGACTGAGGAAGATTTTGACAATCACGTGGGATGCATAACGGAATGGCTGCTACCAGTTAACGCCGTCAAATGTGAAAAAATACGCAACACTTCTTCAAAACTGCGATGGCCCATACCTCCAGGGAGCCCATACCTCCCGGGTCTCCCATACTTTGCTATATGAGGTCACTGATACCAGGTCAGGTCACAGAGGTCAGGTCACTGGAGGTCACAATATGAAAGTGTCGTGTGATATGTTTTATGGTCCATTTTACATGGCAAATGCGATTATGTGGGCCAGGCAGCCTTTGGGGCCAGCTTAGGTTACGTTCTGGTGAAGGTCAGGTCAAGGTCAGGTCAAATTAGGTCAAATTTCAAATTGATATTTTGCATAAAATGGGTATCGATTCGATGCAACTCGTCACG